ACTACCCTCCTAGTGAGAGAGTTTTCCTAATATGCAACTTAAACTTTCCTTGTTGCAACTCAAGACCATTGCTCTTTGTTCTGTCATCTGCCACCACTGAGAAGTTTTAATCTTTTCTTAATTTTTCTACCTTGTTGATTCATAATTTTTATCTTATCTATATATACTTTTCTCTTTGACCATGTTTTTAAGCTCTTTTCTCTCTCTGCATTTAGTTGTTTCTGACCTATATTATGTAATTCACTACAGCACTAGATGTGAGAGACATAAGGTGTAGCAGAGCTATTAAAGCATAATAGTTCTGAATGATACTTCAGGTGAATAGCAGGAAGTGCTGTAGACAGCAGAAGCATCTGAGTTGTCATTTAACCTTCAGGAGTCTCATTGCCTTTCCTGCAATCTTTCTTGCAAAGGGACTGTAAAATTAGCCTCTAAATTAATTTAAATTGGAGCTATCTTTAAATAAATGCTGCTGTAGTCCAGAAAGCTTCAGTATATAGTGTTTCACACCAGGCTTGCTCTCAACTTCTTAAATTTTCTTCTGTCAGGTGCAGTTGATTTCATTCAGGGAGGATATCAATTGTTTAGGAGCATCCAATTGTTTCCATGGTGATAGACAGTGACATCCCAGAATGACTAAGGCAAGATCAGACTGAACCAAGCCAAAACAGCTCTTTTCCTTTTTTTTTGCTGGTTAGAGGGATTCTGTTTTGCTAAAATCATATTGTCACTCGTAAGACAGTGCTGCTTTAATACTTCCTGCCTGCTCCCAGCACCTTTTAAGAGCCCATGCAGCTTGGCTTCTGTATTGTCTCCTTTGTATGCCTGGAAGAGGGAAGCAGACTCTGCGTGGGGCTCGTTTTTCCTGAGGTCAGACTGTCCTCCGGTCCAGCTGGCACTGCCATGGGCCGTATCAAGCACCGGTACAACCCAACCGCTGGAGGCGCAGGTCCCGCTGACCTGCCGCGACTGCAGCACGGCCGGACTCGGGAGAACTGATGTTCTCTGCCAGAGCGCCGCATCCCCGGTCGGACCACAGCGGGGGAAACACTTGCCTTGAATCCGTTTATTCACTTGCTGCCGGGAAGCAGCACTGGCCTGGTTGTGGTGACTACACCAGGTGCCAGCCGTCACAGTGGGTGACTTGGGGGCGCGGGGGGGCGGGGAATCATTCAGTCTATGGAGGGGCAGGCATCACCTGGGCTGTCCACACGAGCTCCTCCGGGAGGGGTCCAGGCTAGTCCGGTGCCCAGGGCGCAGCCAGCGCGGGGACCCGAGCTCGCCCGGCGCTGGCAGGGGAGGGGAGGGGCTGCCCCGCCCC